TGTGTGTGTGTGTGTATGTGTGTGAGTCTGTATGTGTGTATGTGTGTGTGTGTGTGTGTGTGTGTGTGTGTGTGTGTGTGTGTACGCACGCGCGCATTGGCATCTGAAGAATGCGTTGAAATGGACTGACTTTTCGTCTTGTACACGAAAGACGCGAGTTCCATTCTCATGCAGAGAAGATTGTGACGAGCATCTTGGTATTTCTAATGAGGTATCATCACCCCAGGCACCCCAGGTCGGCCACAACAGGCGGGGTCGACGGCGGCTTAAGACATGCATTACCATTTGAGAGTCTCTCTCTCTCTCTCTCTCTCTCTCTCTCTCTCTCTCTCTCTCTCTCTCTCTCTCTCTCTCTCTTTCTCTCTCTCTCTCTCTCTCTCAATTCCTCTCTCTCAATCTCTCTCCTTCTGAGTGTGTGTGTGTGTGCGTGTGTGTGTATGTTTGTGCTTGTATGTATGTATGTGAGTGTGTTTGTCTGTGTGTATGTCTATGTATACGTAAGTGTGTGACTAAATCCAAGCACCGCCTCAAGTTATCCAAAGAATGTATGTCAGGATATTCTTGACGTAGCCCAAGTATCGCAGCTAAAATAAACTGCTTCTTCTTTATATGAAATACTTTTATCACGCCCTTTCATACTAAAAGAACGAAACAGAAATCATGGGTTTTTTAAAAGTGTGTTTGGTGTTCTTTGTTGTTGTTTATTTTTGCTTTTGTTTTGTTTTTGTTTTGTTTTTGTTTTTGTTTTGTTTTGTTTTGTTTTGTTTTGTTTTGACAAGTTGTTCTTTTTACTCGTTCGTGTCCCAGGAGGTATCATCACCAAGCAGGACTTGGCTGATTTTTATGCTGACGTCACATCACCTTTGTCTCTGGCTCTGAATGGAGGACTCACCATCTACTCACCACCATTACCTTCCAGTGGCGCCATCGCTCAGAATATTCTAAACATCTTCTCGGGTAATGTTCTTAACACTTTGATACCAGTTGATCTATCTCTGAACCCCACGCATTGTCGAATGACCGGATTACACGTCTTCATTGAGTTACCGCCCCTCTCAATACAGTAAAGTTTGTTGACCGAAGTATTGGACATTTTCAGGGTGGACCATGTCTCCCCTTTGTTCATCTAGGAAGTCAAGATCTGAAGGGGGGGGGGGGGATAAAACTTAGGGAATCTGCTCCCTTGGACCAAGGCCAAAGAAGTCTTTACATCAACATGTCAAGAAATACTTGGAGCGAAGAAATGGGAGTACAAGGAACGGATTTAGCCAACACTCATTGGATTTAATTCGAATTAGATTTTCCGGAGAAATCGCTCAATCCCCGACCAGATTGTCACGCTGAGGATCATTGTGGAACAGTCCCGGGAGTGGAACGCCCAGCTGATCGTCAACTACCCTGATTATGAGAAGGTCTTTGACAGCGTATACCGAGCAACACTATGGAAAATAATGAGACATCATGATTTCCCACAGAAGTTGATGAATCTCATTAAGAGCATGTACGAAGGGACACGTTGTAGGGTTGTACATGATAGCTAGTTCACTGACAGCTTTGACACCAAGACTGGTGTGAGACAGGGGTGTTTACTATCACCTTCATATTGGCAGTCTATTGGCTGATGAAGGAAACCACAAGAGGACACAGAAATGGTATACAGTGGACCCCATGGGCACAGTTGGACGATCTGGATTTTGCAGACGACTTGACATTTCTGTCGCACACCCAGGAACAGATGCAAGCAAAGATCTCAGTATTAAACAGCCTATCAGAGTCTGTTGGATTTAGGGTCCACCCCGGAAAGCCAAAGGTCCTAAGGACAGATTCACAACGACAGGAGCGAGTCGCAATAGAAAGAATTGCACTGAAAGACGTTGAATCCTTCTGCTATCTTGGGAGTATATTTGACGGAGAGAGGGGAACAGGTGCTGATATAAAGTCCATCACTGGAAAAGCATAGGCTGCTTTCTTATCTTTGAATATGATTGGGAAAACCAGAGATATTTCACTTCGAACAAACCTGATTTTTTTTTCAATTCAAAGGTGAAGTCAGTCCTGTTGTATGGATGTCAGACATTGAATGCATCTCAGTCTTGCTTAAGGAGGATCCAGGTTTTCTTGAACAAGTGCCTAAGAAAGTTACTGAGGATCAGATGGACAGACAGGGTCACCAACGAGGAAGTGTTGAGGAAAACAAGACAGATCCCAGTTAGAGATGAGGTAGGAAGAAGGCGGTGGCGATGGATTTGACCTCCGCACTCCATAATAATCTGTACTTAAATTTAAACTTGGAGGACAAGAACAACTGCTTCCGTCATGTCTTGGGGTGACCTTGAAAAGGCCTTTTGCGTTAGAAAATCCACTGAAATCAAGTCTGACAAGAAGCGTCACGCCTGTTATTGCAGGGAGTAGGAGTTGATTACAAATCTAGATCTAGTACGCCTACTGAAAGAGCAATTTGGGGGTGGCACGAACAGTTCAAGGTGAGAAGACATCTGTCAGAAGGCCATTAAGGAGGGTAGTATTCATTTACAAAACTGTGCGAAATGTGGAATCTGGTCGCGACAACGCCAAATAAGCCTTTTCGAGGACCTAGCAGTGAACTAGGCTTTTCATAATCGGCTTAACCTTCAGAATCTTAACGTATGATGAAAGGGAAGGTCCGTCACATCTGTTTCCACCAAGGAATAATCCGAGACAATGTTTTGGTGAGAAAAGCAATGAGTGCGTTGGTTTTGAAAACAAGTGAGAATGAGAGAGAGAGAGAGAGAGAAAGAAAGAGAGAGAGAGAGAGAGAGAGAGAGAGAGAGAGAAAGAGAGAGAGAGAGAGAGAGAGAGAGAGAGAGAGAGAGAGAGAGAGAGAGAACTGTTCAATGCTCTGTTCGCTTTAGCAACGTGGCTCATTTCTACGGGGACTAGAACAGTTAATTCTGGGAATTGTGTGTGCTAGAAGACAGAAAGGCTAATTGATGTGACTGAGAAGAACTACAAAAATTGAGACAAGGACCTTGTCTGAGCAACCACGCTGAAATAATCTTAGTAAGAGCACGGAAATGCATTGCAAGTGATGGAGCCATATGGCGCATCTTTTAAAAAGCTAAAATTTCGAATGCTGATTCCTTTTTCATTAATTAAATTGTCCACCTGTCTGTCCGAATGGGTTTTTTTATGCTTGCACCAAAGAAGTGTAGTGTACATGTATTTAAAAGGGCTATTATTTTCTGGCGTTCATCGAGTTTGGGACACCCTGTAGTCTTTAATCACTTCCTCCTTTCCATTACGCCTCTCCCCCCCCCCCCCTTTTTCATAATACTACCTCCGCCCATTACCCCAGTAACCCCCCCCCCTTTTCCTCATAAAACATAACGAAAAAGACCTAACACAATCCTCCAGATCGCTCCCTTGACCCCTGACCCCTTGCATGGTGCCCATAGGTTACAACATGACGTCAGCGGACCTATCAACCAATGAAAAGACAGTGCTCACCTACCACCGATTCATTGAGGCCTTCAAGCACGCGTACGCTGCTCGTTCCAAACTGGGCAGTCCGTACGGTGAGACAAAGTCGTTCAAGGATGAGATGAACAAGGTAGAAAGGAAAAGGAAGAATTGAAAGAAACTGTTTAGTTTGTCGTGAGTGTAGTTTTGAATGTTAAGTAAAGGTCCTTCTTTCGTACCAACACACGCATTGTTAGCACACACACACACACACACACACACACACACACACACACACACACACACACACACACACACACACACACACACACACAGGTCTATGCGTTTGTCGGGGTTGGGCAGGTGGCCAGCACACGCGTGACGTTTGACTGTGTGTGCGTGCGTCTCGGAGCAGGGCGGGGCTCAAGCGGTCCGTGCGTGGAACGTCAGAAGAAAGAATAGCCCGTCTCAGTCACAGTAGTTTTTTTTTTTTACCGGTTACGGACGGATCAGTAGTATTACAATGATAAGGTAGTCTTGAAATAGATCTATGCAATGAATTGCGCGCTGTAATGTGGAATCAAACGTTGACGTACGCTGGGCTCTACGCAGCAACATTGCTTGTTCGGCTAACAATACGATATAGATGATAAATGACACAGATATGATATAAACGAATCAGTCCTTTTGCACAGTCTGTGCTTGGTAGAGTCTAGTATTCCAGCATTTATTCGGTATGGCATCAAAGAAAAGAAAATGCCTCTCATCTGTAACTAGACAACTTTTAATTGAGAAAGTCGAGTACATTGTACATTATTTGCTCGGTGCCTGTAATTATCTACACAGACACTTCATGTTTGCTATAACAAATACTCTGATTCAACGAAATTGAAGGTCAGGTCCGACGAGTTTGTTGAATCCGAGTTCCACTGTAAAATGCTCACAGCTCATTGCCAACCTGACATCACCTGAACAAGGGGAAGCGACCCGCAGGCAGATATGGGACAACCAGACGTTCCCCTGGCCAAATTACGGCGCCGAGTATTACTCTCAAGACGATCACGGCACGTCTCAGCTCTGTGTTTTGGCGCCAAACGGAGACGCTGTGTCTATGACCTCAACCATTAACCTATAGTGAGTTCACACATCTTCTTTTGCGTTTTGGGGGTAGGGGGTGGTGGGGGGTAGGGAGTGTTAATGAGATTGCTGTCAATTTAAAGTGTATATAATATTATATACATGCATACATATAAAAAAAAATTATAT